AGAAAGAAAGAAAGAAAGAAAGAAAGAAAGAAAGAAAGAAAGGAGAAGAAAAGAAAGGAAAGAGGGAGGAAGAAAGGAAGGAAGAAACAAAGTATAGCAACTCTGCAGTTTGAATAAAGAAATAGAAGAGAAATACAACAATCAAGGTCTCTGAGTTTTCTCTCAATGCATTTGTTTATGGCTACAGAGTATGTATACTCTAGCAAAACTGTGCTAAATGTTGAAATTTAAAATTGTGGCCAATTTGCATTTCTAGACCTCGCCAATTACTGAAAGGAGACTCATTTTATTACTTTTCCTTAAACGTACTTGGGGAGGGAGGGTGACAGAGTGGGGGCATCAGGTGACAAGCTCAAGGTCCAATATTAATTAGTCCTATGAAACAAGGACAGAGTCCAGGAATGATGGTGTGTGTGTGTGTGTGTGTGTGTGTGTGTAATTAGGGGTCCTGCTTCTTTACCAAAGCTGAAGAGATGTGTGTTCAGACAGAGGTGTGTTCAAATCCTGACACAGTCACTGTCTTTATCCTAAAATGGAGCTAAACTACCTCATGTTGTAGGTATGAGGATTAAATGTGTATATAAATATTTAGATGTATTACATATAAATAAGCATTTAACAAATGCTAGTTACTGTAAATTATAAATGGGTAAGGCAGATATTTCCATTATAAAAACACCTATCTTCCTGCTTTCTAAATTAATATATGAGCATTTGTCTTTTAAAGTAAATTATTTCTACAAGATAAGTTAATTTTTAAATGTGATGATTTTTGAAAGATAGAAAATTGAGCATTATGAAAGCACTTGATCTTATAAATTGTAACTGCATTATCATGGAAAACAGAGAAGCGCCCTGTCACTGGCATGCTGAGATAAATATTTTATATGGTATTGACACCAGATGATTTCACTAGATTAAAGACCACTGAAGCCAGCACATTGAAACCTCATAACATAAAATCTTTTCACAAAATGTCACTTTTATATTAAATATTGTGTTTTTAAAAGTTTGCTGTAGTTTTAATGAATAACCTGGTTAGGACTCAAAAACTTCTCTCTGTAAGTACATTTAAAAAATTTCTTTCCAATAGATTAAGTGAATAGATAACTTCCTGGCATTGCAAAACTCATGTGAAAAGATTGATAATCAGATTCCTTCATTTGCTTTCAGATTTTCAGACGATGCTGGTTGGTTTTCAAGAAGGCTTCTAGTAAAGGACCCAGAAGGCTGGAAAAATTTCCAGATGAAAAGGCAGCATATTTCAGAAACTTTCATAAGGTAAGTCACAGTGTTTGGAATCGCTAGGGAATAAGCGGACCCCTGGCAACAACTTGTGGAGACATTTCTTTTGATAGATGAAATATGCAGAGGCAAAAATGCATGACCAGTATAAAATATCTCTGTTCTGATAAAAATGCAAAAGTTATTTTTCTTCTTTTTTTTAATCAACTGCTGTAAATGCCAGTGGTACCTCTGCAAAAATGAAATGAAAGACTCATTTTTATTGCTAGTTTGCGAAATGAGACGACTCATAATTCAACCACATCATTTCCTAACATGCTGAGTAGACATTTTGCCTCTGTTCAGGTCAATTGTGCATTTGTTACTTTGATTTAAACTGTGGGCAATATTTAGGAGATAAAACTTTGGAGGCTGGTGTTGGCCGTGCTAATGACTCTGCTAATGTGCACAGTAGTTGCTGTTTATACCTTTAACAAGAAAGGATCATCAAATACGCTGATGTGTAGGATGTGGCCATACATTCTATGAATTTTGATTCATTCTATGAATCAACTTACTAAGGATTAAAAGTATGTGGGAAATACCGCTAGAGTGATGTTAAATATGCCACCTAAATTTGTCTTCAGTGATAAGATCAAAATGCAGTTAAGTGTTTGATAATTATGTAGAGAATTCATGGTCAGAACTCAAAATTGTGAACTGGTTTGTTGATGAAATGCCTCAATAAGCTCAGTAAAGAATCTAATTCCTCACCATTGGTAATATAGAGTAAGTTACCATGAATAATGTAATGATTTTGTGGGGTTTATTTTATGTGATATGTAGTCTAGTTCCTCCTTTTATTAAAAATAGAGTGCTTGCCAGGGGTTGGGCGGTGGGAGTGATAAATAGATGTAGCACAGAGGATTTTTAGGACAGTGAAACTATCCTTTACAACACCATCATGGTGGATGTAGGTCATTAGACATTTGTCTAAACTGGTAGAAGGTACAATACCGAGAGTGAACCTTACTGTAAAACGTGGGCTTTGGGTGATTATGTTGTGTCAAAGTAGATTGATTCATCAGCTGTAACGAACGTCCCACTCTGCTGTGGGATGTGGATAATAGGGGAGCCTGTGCATGTGTGGAGGTAGGGGGTATAGGGAAATCTCTGTACCTTCTGCTCAATAGGGCTCTGAACCTAAAACTGCTCTCAAAAATAAAGTTTATTTAAAAAAATAGATTTTTCTACAAAATGTACTAATTCTATTACACAAATACCTAGCAAGCATTTATATTATATTTGAGACTCTCTCTGAGGGTTGAGCATTTGAATTTCTTTAACTCTCTTTGAGGTATTCTACATATTAATATAGACTTACTATCAGAGATTCCAAGTTCAGGTTCCTGTCCAGCCACTTAGTAACTCATGTGAGTTTGGTTTTCTCATGAGTACATGTTATATTACATGTCTCATTTGAAGACTATTTGAGATAGGGTATCAAAGGACAACCAGCACAGTGGTGCCTATTCTAATTAAATGAAGAATTATATGAAGTCTAAATTTATACTGGTATTTTGTATTATGGTTATGATCTTGGCAATATTTTTAAACCTGACAAAATTTAAAACTGCAAAGTTGTGAAATGTGAGTCTGTGACCTTTAGTTTGTGAGTAAAATTTTGAAAGACTGAACACATTGGATACTCTTGATTCCTCATCAGAACCCCTGTCCCCTGGTCAGTGCTGGCTGGATGCTGTCCATGCGTTCATGACTCAGGCACAATCCTAAAGAAGGAAAAAAAGATCATCTTGGAAAATAGATTGTTGAGAAAGATCAAGAATCTGAATCACTTGTGTGTGTGTGTGTATGTGTGATGAGAACATTTAAGATCGACTCTCTTATCAACTCTCAAGTATATAATACAGTATCATTAACTATAGTTACCATACCGTACATTAGATTTTGGGAACTTACTCATCTTACCCTCTAACCAGTGGTGATGGAGATGCTAACTAACCTTGTTTTAGTAATCATTTCACAATGTACACATGTATCAAAAGATCACTTTGTATACCTTAAACTTACATAATGTTATATGCCAATTATATCTAGATAATAGAGCTGGAATGAAAAACATCTTTACATTACACAGTGGATAGGATTGTAGGCTCTGGAATCTAGCATCCGTATTTAAGAGCTGTGTACTTGCTTAGGCTCTTTAATTTCCATGTACTTAATTTTCCTCCTCTGACAGATTAAGATTATAATAATATAACAGACTATAACACAAAAAGGGTTATTGTAGGGAATAAAAAGATACTATAGACATATAATGAGATTAAATACAACAAGATGTTATTAATGAATTAAAATTTATAGCTAAGTACATAACCACTTACTTGGCATATAGTAAATTGCAGTAAACGTTAACCGTTTTTAGTCTAGTCTCGATGTGATGGAGACTTGGGTGAAGATGTTAGTGTTGGAGCTAGAGGTGGAAGGACACGTTTTGGATATGGCTGGTGAACACTGACAGGGTGTACTTTGGGATTAGATGCAGGGTGTTAGTGAAAGGTAGGTAGGACTCTTGGAGATTCCTGAGTTTGGGTTTGAGCAACAGAGAAGAGGATGGTGCGATTCATGAAGATAGGGAAGACTAGAAGAGCAAACTTTGAGTAAAACTCACAAGCCTTCACTGATTGGATGTAGAAGAAATGGAGGAGAGAGGAGTAAGAGTTGCTGTCTTTTCCGGACTGGGTGACAGAGGAGTGGTCATGCTGTTACAGAGACACGGACCCTGTGTGGAGGAGCAGTTTTCAGTGGTGAAGAGAAGAAGGCATTCTTGGCATGTTAGATTAGGTTTCTTTACAGTACATTCAGATAGATGTTTTCATTCAACAGTTAGAACTGCAGCCAGACTGTAGTGCAAATACCCAGGAGATCTACTGAATGGTGATGTTAAGGTGGGTGTATATTAATGCCTCTTTGTGAAAGCTTGGTAAGTGCAAAATAAAACTCTTTCCTCTAAAAGACATGGACTTTGGTGCCAGCCTTACGGTGCCATTCAGGGTGTTTTGCAGGTATTTCAATTCTAAGTTTAGCAAGAGTTACAAATCAAAGAAGTTGATACTTGACTGAAAAAATAAAACTGCTAATCCAAAAAATGATAGAAAACTATGAAAAGTGGCTCTTAAAGGAAATGCTCGTGGAATAAATGTTAAAATACTAAACAGTAAGATTTATAGTAATTATCAAAACTGCTTAACTGGAACTTCCCAACTGAAAGTTCTAACAATTCTAAAGAGAGAATTGTTCATGTTACCAAAAAGAAAACTGTGAAGAATACTGACATTTGAAAAGGGGAAGAGGAGAGAAGACAGGACCTCAGAGGCTGTGTGTCCTGCTCTTCCCTGAGGCTGCCCCTTCCTATGAGAACGCTACCCCAGAGGTCAGAGGGCATTATTTTGTCCCAGCCCTAAACAACCAGCCATCAAGGCAAAATAGCAATTACAAATGTTTGTGATATTTTTATCCTGACATATGAATACATTTGCTTCTGCAAAATCAAAAATTGAACCATCACTTCCCTTGGCTTCTTCCATTGGTTGAATCATGAATCCTTTTTTTGGAAAGCTGTAAATTTCTCAGCTCCCTCAGATGGTCAGGTAAATAAAGGGAGATCTCTTTATGAAAAAGGCTGACCTATTTAAAATCTCTCTTTTCCTTTGAGCAATTAATGGTCAGTTCAAATCTTGGCTCCCCAGAATGGGGAAAAAAATCTTATTTTTCAAAATAGCTTAAAATAGACTGCTGTGGATTTCCCCAATTGTTCTATTTATTAATTATTAGGTACTTTAAACTTGTGATTAGTTAGTTATTTTGATACATCCTAAAATCTGCTATAGTGCTCAATAGCAATAAATCAAAATAATCAAATGAGTGAAATGTGTCCAACCTTAGTGAGGGACTTATGAAAAATAGCTAAGGACAGAATTATTTCTTTGCCAACTTTAACTTTGTGCTATGCTGTATCTGGAACATACATATTGTAAAGCTTAGGAGTATTAATGGTCCCATTTAGACATTTGATATGTTTATTGTAAGAGAGATCTTGCTGCATAAATCAATTTTTATATGAAACTGCTATAAAATGGTATATACTTTTTTTTTACATCTTGGTAGAAAGAAATTTGAAATTCAAATCACTAGCTGCTGAAGGAAGTTATTAAAAATGCATTAGGGTTGAAAATGTAGCTGTATATAATTGTCATAACAGATATTCAAAACAAATTTATCCTCAATGAAAACTGAACTAAAGCAATTTACATAGAATCAGCTAATAAATTTTCCTTAATTTTCTAAGTAGATGAAAAAGAAACAGTTCATAGAAATTTTAATAAAATAAATATGAGTGCTGTCTGTAGGGAGGAAAGTATAAATAAAATCCCTGAGAAGGATGACTGAAGATGGAACGATGTGAATTTCCTATGATGGGGACTACATGAGCTAGAAAAGCAATGCCTGTATTGGGACCGATCTTATTTCTAAATCCCGTACAACCTGACATTGAAAACATCATTTTGTTCTATCTGCTTTGCTCCTTCTTGGAGTTATCAGTATTTATCTTTATGTAAAGCAAACATCTGAGAAACTTAGGGAAAAGATGAAGACATCCTTATGAAAAACAGCCACCTGGAAATATAGCATATCCTTAAAGATAGGAGCAAAACCATAGGTTAGTGTGTGAACAGTGTGTTATGTTGAATGCTTTCATTTTGATTCCAGTGGCTCTCTGCTTGGATGAGCACACACTTGGTGTGATGTGAAGGGTGTTCAAAGGTTTGGTGTCTCATAAAATGTCTGCTGGAAGGTCCCAGAGTGATAATCATTCACATTAGGGATCTTATTCATTTGTTCATTCGTTCATTCATTCATCCATCTGTAATCTCTTATCTTGAAGAAGTCTTAACCTTTTTTTAACATAAGCTCCTATTAACACACACATTGGTTCCTGGGACAGTCACACGTTAACCCATGATCATTTATTTATT